CTTCTTTTCTTTTTTTTTTTAATATGCATAGCTTCTCTCTCTGCTGCAGTTTTGGGAATAAATGCCTGGGTTGGGTAGGGCATGTGTTGTTGCAGTGTTATGTGATAAATACAATCTATAACCTCGATGCCAGTCTTAGAAAAATTCTGATCACCTCCTACCTGAGCACACTTGTGGGCAGTAGAACAGCACCAGTTCTGGGGGTTTGCTCCCTTTGGAATGACCCAGAGTGGGTGAATCCAGGAGATTTTCTTACCCACCTGCATCAGTTCTGTGTGTGGCAGAATGAACTTTGCCATGTCAGTTCGGAGCTGCATAGAAAGGCAGGGCTGAAGAGGGATTCACTGAGTGTGCACAAGATCAGTGCTGTGGTTGTGGATCCCAGCTCTCCACTCACAAACCTTGAGGTGTTGTTTGTTTTTTTTTCCACAGCATTTTTGTACCAATGTGTTAACAGCATGGATTTAATTTAGGAAAATAAGTGTTTGATAATGTAGCATAAAAGATGCCAGCAAAGGAGTTTGGTGTATTGCCCTAGAAGTGTGTTCTGATGTTACTGCAGCAGCAGCTCTGTCCACCAAACTTGCCCAGGCCTGGAGCCCGAGTTTATCCAGCACAGAAGGTCAGGAGTCTTCTTACACTTCCTCTGTGAAATGTAAATTTCACTGGGCAGCTCTCAGCTCTGTGGCTCCTGTCAAGGGGCAGCACAGAGCAAAGTCCTGCAGCATGCAGCACTGCATTCTGGGTCAGCAATAAATAGCTTGTGTACCTTGGTTTTACTGATTTTTTCTCTGGTTATGGCACAGAGAACATGCTTTTATCTATCTGTGTATCTTCTTTAAGAAGTTAAAACCAGAAAGTTTTTTTAAGAAGTTAAAATCTCTGTGTTATAGGCATTAAATAACAAAAGATACTTATATATTATATATATTATATCTATATATTATTATTTATATCTATATAATATATAGATATTATAATATCATATTGTATATAATCTATGCTATATATACTTATGTAAATAAATATTGTATGTATATACATATATTTATGTATATACATATATGTATATACATTTATAAATTTTATGTACATAGAGATATGTATGTATTTTATATATAAACATAAATATAATATTTGTGTATAGGTATACAAACATATATATGTATGAATATATCTATTCATAAATTTCATGTTTATATATGTAAATACTGTAAAATTGGAGGATACTTACAAATATTTTGAGTGTGCCAGAAGCAAATTTAATAGTAAAGCATGGCCAGGTTCTTTCAGTCTTCAACTTCTTGGCCTCATTTCTGACACACATTCAATAAAGTGTAAAACAGGTGGTTTATGCTCACTGACATTCTACAGTAATCTAAACAGATACCAAAAATTCCATGGAAATAAGGAATTTTTATCTGTTTTTATGAAGGAGGAAGAACTAAGTTAAGGATGTGCAGTGTTGTTCATCCAAAATTTCTTTTACTATGTTGGTTCCCAGGAGGGAATAGAAGTTTTGATAGAGTCAGTAATAAATGAAGCTGCAGGATTAATAATTGAAGGCAGAGAAATTAAATTAAAGAAAAAGATCTAAGGCTTTTCCCTTTGTCTTAATCACAGTTTCTTAAATATTTTGGGGAAAGTAGTAGTAACATTATTTACTAAAAAAAAATGATTAGCATCATTTAAGGCTTTCAAGTTCTGTTCTTGCTTTTTGAACATTTGCTCTTTTTCCAAACTTTACCTTTAGATTTGAAAGCTTTGCTAATACTTTTGGGAAAGGGCTTTTCCTAATTTTCAACTCATTAATTTAAGATAATTTTATGACTGTATTGAAATACTTAAGTGATATGGGAAGAACATTTGAGAACATACTTAGTCAAACCCTAGAATGCAAAAAGAGTCTTGGTGTCATAATTCTGACTCTCTTTATTTGCTTGGGTTTAAAAATGTATTTTAATCAAAAATATGTTTATTTTAAAATAACATATATAATAATAAAAACTTTCCCGAAGTTCCCAAATGCACAAAAATGCAATGCACCTGCCAAACTTTAATGATTAACTCATTAAACTTACAGATTGTTTAGTAAGAGAAATCAGCTGTTTAGAAATCAGCTGTTGATGAGTTTCAGGAGTTGAGTGACTTCAACCAAGGATTTACAAATCTCTGCCTTTCAAACAGCTGCCAGAAGTTTCCAGAGGAATCTTTATAATTTATTGATTGAAGTCATAAAATGTCAAGAAATGTGAGTCCTGGGGTGCCAAAATTTCTTTTTTTCACTTTTTTTCTTGGGATTTTAATAGTTTTCTTGTGAAACTAGTATTTTGATGAACAGATGATTTTAAGGAAATGAAAATATTTTCAGTGAAGTGAAAGGAACTGGCATGCCTGAGCTCTATCACTCATTTAACCAACTTGTACAATTTGATGGTTTGCAGTTTTCATAATTATAATATTAGTTCAGCAAACTCTGTTAGAGAAGTTCTTATTTCCATGATCTTATGGGATTTTATTTGACTACAGATTTTTCAGCATGGAGAACTTGAAGTTGTCAATAGTTACAGTTTAATAAATGTAATTTGTTGAGGACTGTTAAAAATAGTACTATGACAATGATTCAAGCAGAGGCCTGGGAAAACTAAATCTGATTTGAAATGTTTTACATAGAATTTCTGTAAAGGAAGGGGAGAGGATTGGATGTGCAGGAGCATCCCAAGAAGGCAAATTGTCAGTGTAATTGGGAAGTCTGTTTTAATTGGGTAGTGATGGCAGATAGCAACATGGCTGAGAACAAAGGAACAGAGATGAGCTGGGTGTCAAAATAGAATTTTTGGGACAGTAGTAAAAATTTCTTCACTGGAGGGGTGCTCAGGTATTGTAACAGGTTGCCTGGGGAAGTGATGAAGGAATTCCAAAGATGTGCACATGTGGCACTTAGGAGCATGGTTTAGCAGTGGACTTGGCAGTTCTGGGTAAATGCTTGGGCTTGATGATCTTAGAGGGCTTTTCCAACCTTAACAATTCTATGATCCCGTGAAACCTTTACTGCTTTTCCACCACTGTTATCCACTGAACTTCCCTGGAAGCTCTTGGGTTCCAGCATGGGTTTGGCAGAGCAACCAGCTGCTCCCACCACACTCAACAGCTTCCAACAACCAACCTAGTGATCTGGCTTTAAGTGTGGCAGGAGCATTGACAGCCTCAGGAAGACTCATCCAAGGTAAGTGTGATGTTGGCCATGGTGGATCTAATTCATCCCATGCCAACTGCCCCAGCTTTCTGTCAACACTTCAGCCTGATCAGATTGGGCCTCAGCCAAGTTGTGCAGCTGCCAACGATTGTGGACAGGATCAGATGGGATGGTTTGTAAAGCTGAAGCACTTGGGGGTGCTGATGGTTTGCTTCTCATCAATACCCCCAAGGCAGCTTTTCCTGGGTCCTTGCAGTGATGACCCAGCAGCTTCTTCAGCAGTGTACGACAGGAAGATCAAACAGATCTTGGGTGAACTCAATAAGGAAAGAAAAGAACGGAGCTGGACATGGACTGGAAAAGGACCTGGAGTGACAGGACAAGGGAGAATGGCTTCAAACTGCCAGAGGACTGGGTTAGATTAGATATTGGGAAGAAATTCTTCCCTGTGAGGGTGGGAGGCCCTCTGCAGAGGTTGCCCAGAGAATCTGTGGCTGCCCCACCTGTGGAAATGTCCAAGGCCAGGTTGGATGGGGCTTGGAGCAGCTTGGAATGGTGGAAGGTGTCCCTGTAATGGCAGGGGGTTGCAATGAGGTGTCCTTTAAGGTCCCTTTCAGCCCAAGCCACTGTGGGATTCTCTGGATTCAAGTTGGATAACAACACAGTTAAGAATCAAACTTTGAACAGATGTGTGTGTAATGTACCCACTGTGTGTAATGAGGCAAAAAATGACACTGGGTGTTTGTTCCTCATGAAAAAGCAGAGGATGCCCACATGGAAATGTTGGCATACATGGAAATAGTGGTGGTGGTGGTACATGAGCAATTAATTCAGCAATTAACCAAAATTAACCTTAACCAAAAGTGCCTGTGTTGCTGCTGAGGTATTTGCGGTTACACACATTACATGGTGTAGATCTCCACCATATGAGTACCTATGTTGACAGAATTTTGTTTACTTTTTCTGGGCTAAAACCCTTGAAATTCACATTTTTGAGATGATGTCCTGAATGTCTTGTCAAGATCTTCAGTTTCTGTGACTCATTTAAAGGAACTATCCCAAGGCTTGGGATTTGTACCTTCTGAACTCTTGGTGCAGGTCTCAGTAACCTGGAGGGTGAACACATTTGTCCCTGTGAATCACATGGCTCTGTCAGGGACTGAAGTGGATTCATGGTGAATGTGTAACATCTTTTGACCTTTTAGACTTCATAGCACTGAGAGGTCCAGGAGCATGGCAGATGTAGAAATAAACGTGTAGAATGTTTTCTGGCACGGTGTTCTTTGAGAAATTGTGTCACAGACTTCAGCACATTGACTTGCTGATGCTTTATATAAATCATGGGCTTCTGCTTTTCATGTCTGTGACTATACATACATTAAATATATGTACTTTGTCTTTTTAAGGCAGTACCATGAGAATCAGTAATGGACTAATGCACAAGCTTTCCATGAAATATAGGAATTTCTCCTAGGTTTTGGTTGTTTGCTTGTTTGTTTTGTTTTTTTCTCTTCACTGACATCTTGACAGGCTGAGCCAGAATCCCTTTCTTACCTGGCAGGTATAGAAGAATAAAATCCATTCCCATGTTGCAGTCCTCCATGGTGCCCTGCCTAGGATTCCCTGGATGGGCTTTTGCCTCTGTTTTATGAAGCAGAGTTAAAAGAGCTGATTTCAAGGACGATGACTTAGAGCTAATGTGAATATTGGTGGTCTGGAATGCATCCAGTAAATGACAAATCAAGTAGAAGAGCGTGACTGCATGTTCCCAGGGTTTACTGTAGTTCCCTGTGTTTAATTGCAGACCTCCAAAGAGGACCTTCTCCAGGCTGATTTTGAAGGAGCTTTAAAATTCTTCAGGGTTCAGTTGCCCAAGAGGTACAGAGCTGAGGAGAACGCCCGGAGACTCATGGAACAAGCTTGCAATATTAAGGTAAGGATGGACTTCATTGCTTCTCATTCAGCCAGGAGTTTCTACAGGAAGAGTAAAATGCAACGTTAAGAATGGCAGTAGCATGTGGAAAGTAAAGAAATTGAATCACCGCTTTATTGCTGTTATATATGTTTGTATAATTACTCACACACCTCCTGTCTTTAAAGAAAGTGAATCTGTGACCTTTTCTCTTTTTGTCTACTTGGGTACAAACTAATAATTAAAACAGAGAAATGGTGCATCATCAACAATTATCAAAATTCACTAATTCCTTATTTGTTTTATAAACAGTCACTGCAGTAAACCAATTAATCACTGTATGATAATCATGCAAACAAAGCTCAGATATGATTTGTTTTGCTCAGAAGCTGTTAATCTGATGAGTGCTGTGTATAATACACTTGAATTGAGGTAGAAATGAGTTTTTTTGTATATCAAGCTTACCAAGACAGAATATGTTTTTATATTCTACCTTACCCAAGATTCTGCTGTCAGAAGTCAGGATACTCTGAACTTACTGACTACAAGTAGTGGACTTGAACAAAATTAGAGAAGCATAACTGTAAGCTGTTGAGGGTGGAAACCTGTTCAAAATGGCTGCAGAGGTTCATAAAGTGGTCATTTGGAAGGTCCTAGATTTTTTTTTTAATTGAAATATGTATTGCTATGGAGGGGTTTAATGTTTGATCATGGAGAAAAAGTGTTTTAGTAATTTCTTGGAATGTGAGCTCTGATGGGAAGTGCATGTTTGGTGTGGCAAGTGATGCACAGAGAACTTCCCACTAGGAAGAATGTTCCTGCAACACTCTGCCTCTTTTTATCTCTCTCAATATATTTGTTAATTTCCCTTGTGCTGCTTTGTTTCATCATTTATTAAGCAAGGGCTTTTTCCCTTCTGGTTAAAACACTGATCTTGTGAAAAAATAGGCCTTGCCATCTGAATACTTATTCCAGCCAAGGAAAAGAAGATCTGTACAAATGTTTTAGTAAAATTGTACTTGAATTTCAACTCTGCTGCTGAAAGAGACTATTTGTGAGTACAAGGCTGCAGTTTGATGTTTAGTATTTCCTCTGCTTGGTTGTTGAAAATGAGTAATTGAAGGACTTAACAAGTACAGGAGAATTATCTTTATGCCACTTACTCAGTGTGTATTTTCTGATGGGAGATAGAAGTCTTCATGGTACCTGTTGGAAGAACTATTTGTCAATTTTCTCATGCCTTTCTCCTTTTCTTGTGCAATACATTGTGTGTCACATGGTGTAATTTGTCATTAGTTTTTCATTTAGTACTGGATGTGTGTGTATGTGATGTGCTTTATTGAGGAAATGTTTTGAAATGCACCTGACGCAGATGTTCAGGGTTCAGCACCTGGGGCCAGCTGTGGGAAGAGTGTGACATTCTAAACTGTTAGTTGACAGGAAGGGGTAGGGTTTGACAGATTTAATTCACTGCATACACAGGATTTCATACACTGGATTCTGGTTAAGAGAAAAGCTCAGGTGAGTGTAGCAAACATGGAGTCAAGTCACCCCTGTGTGTTAGAGAAGTGTGTGGGGATTAGTAGGAATTACTGAAAAGGAGGGAGAATTTAGAGCCAAGATTTTGGGCTGTCAGGGGTGGGAAAAAGAGGGAGGTTGAAGTCACCTCCTGCTGTGTCAGTAACTGCTGCTTTGGTGTGATAAGAGTTGGGCTCTGCTGACTCCCTGGGTATACAACTCATCCTGTAAGGGGCTTCAGGAACTCAATGTGAGGAACTCAGCACAAGACCATGTTGGAGGGAGGGTGAAACTTAAATTAAATGAGTTTGTGTCCCCAGACTTGCACCCTTGCCACAGGTGCCACTCATCCCCATGGTCACTGGAGCATCTCTCTGGCCATGGTCTCTGGTGTGGGCTGAGGATGTGGAGCAGTGGCTTTGGAGTCCTCAGTGTGTCTCAGGATCCTCTTAACTGCTGACAGTAAATTGGCTTTTGGACATGTTTTTTTGTACTGTCTAGGAAGGACAGGAACATGTTGCCTGTGAAAAATGCCAATCACTTGTTTTTAAAATTTCAAAAGTTTAATAGTAATAAAATGGTTATTAAAATAGTAATACAATTAGAGTAATAATAATTTGGGCAATTTGGATTAGGACAATATGAGACAATAAAAACACAGAGTTACAGACAGTCTGGGTACCTTTTTCTGGGCAGCACAAGCCCGAAAAAGGACACCCGTTAACAGAGGATTAACCCTTAGAAGCAACAGCCTGTTGCATATTCATACACCTCATACATGATGCATAAATTCCATTCAAACACAGGATTCTGTCTGGGCAGTGTCAGCTTCTTCCTCTGAATCCTAACAGTGCCTTCAAGGTGGGAAAGAAGTTCATTTCTTCTGATAATGGAGCAATAAATTATTTCTCTGAAAGATTCAGGTGTCCTGTGGCTGCTATCTCGCTGTGAGTCCTTTCTTTAAAAAAGTATCCTACACAGCATAGTTTCTATTTTTTTTTATAACCTAAAACTACATTTAACACACTACTTAAGAAAATGAATACAGCATCACTTTCTAACACAACACATATAATGTTCATTTTAATATTTGCGAAAAGCCAATCATAAAATACACAATTTTCACATTGCCCTTGTGGTTCTGGAGTCTCTATCTGTGAAGACACCCAAAACACAGATTGCCCTGAGTGAGCTGCTGTAGGTCACTCTCCTTTAAAGGGTAGTTTAGACAAGACGTCCTCCAGAGATCACTTCCAACCTAAACTGATCCATGATTCTATAATTAGACATTAGAATCATTGAATTTATTTACCACCAGGTGCTAGTAATTGCAGGAGCTGGCATGCTCAAACAGGAGATTTTAGTCTTGCTCGTCACCAGTGGTGGAGCCCCAGGGAAAACAGAGGTTGTGTGAAGAGCATAGTCTGTCTTGTTGAATGGAGCAAAATTTTTTCTGTTAAAAAAAAAGCCAAACCAGACCCTTAAACTGCTTTTTTGTGTTGTATGAAAGAGGCACTGTGTGTCTTTCCACTGCTTGTGGGCCGTATTAGTATTTGTAGACTAAACAATAGAGGGTTTTAGAGCAAGTATTACACAGTAAGTGAATGGAGGATTTTCTTTGGATTTCTCAGCATAAAAACCTAAAAACAGAACTGTGTTGTAGCCAGGGTTTGTAGTAAGCTGCATCTTTTCCTGTGTTTCTTTTAATTTTGTTCCCACATTGCTGCAAAACAAAACAAGAGTTTAACATGTAATAAAAATCCACCTTTCCTTGCTTACTTTTTTGTTGAGCTTTAGCTGAGCTACTTCTTTCTAGTCCTGCAGAAGGTAAATTTAAAACTACTTGATGCTTTTTCTCCTTAATTTCACAACTTTTCAGTGAGTTCAGGATGTAACCCTTGGATTTTGAAAGTGCTGTATTGGAAATAGTTCTATCATACTGCTTTTTGGAAAAAAAAAGGATTGGTATCTGTCTTTCTCTCAAGAGTAGATCTGCAAATACAAAGGGAAAAGCTGCTATTAAATGAAATATCTGTGTAGAATGTGCTAGAGAATATCTTTTTCAATTAAGAATTATTTTTTGTGGTTATTCACTAGGTCTGGATTTCAGTCATTTACTAGTAAATCACTGGGAACATCAGTGGAATTAGAATTAACAGTAGTGTTTTCCTACAGAGCTTGTTGGGTCATATTCCATTGTTGAAGAGCATTTTGAACTAATTCATACTATGAAATAATAGGGCCTAAAAATAATATAGCCTGGATTTGTAAACATAGAAGAATTTTTATGCTTATGCTTTGGGGAGGGTTTTTTTACTTTCCTCATTTTCCTGCCATGACAAGATTTTTCAGAAGTTTTTCTGTGTCTCTGGAAGCACAATTTGATAAATGAATGAATGAAGTAAGACGCTCTTCTAAATATCATGAAGGTTAATCCAAATGATGCTGTTTTATGAAAACATCTGACCAATTCTTCTTACAACATCTGCCTCAGTTTCCTTTTGCATCTTCTTGCAGTTTCTCTTGCACAGATGTGTGTGTGTCCTAAAGAAGTTGTAATGAGCTTGGATTTTAATAGAGTAGTCCCATTCCTCTGTTCTTCCACCTGGCTTCAGGCAGGAGAGGTGTGGAACAGGAGGAAGTCTCACTGGGAGATCTACTCCATATGAACATTCCCTGGATTGTCATTTTCCAGTGAATTCAGGGAGTTGTGCCAGTTCTCCATGACTGTGCCATGGCATTTGGAAATGAGCAGAGCTGACATTCAGCATTTGGTAGCTCTGGAAATACAGAATGTGTTAAATTGCAGCTCTGGAAATGCCATGAGATTGAGTGTACCAGATGGATAGGTGGGGACATCCTCAGAATTACCTGTGGGATGTGCCCCTGTGCCCAGAGAAGGTGAGGTGAACATGTGGGATGAGATACACAGGGAAGGTGGTTCTGTAGCATCTCTAAAGACACCTCCTGTTACGTGGCTCAGGCCCTGCAGTTGTGGTCTCATCTTTCACCATCCTCAGCAGCAGGAAAGATCTCAAACACTGAACTTCTTCTAAGAGAAGTTTCTTCCAACCATGTAAATCTCTCTTCTGGAAAATATTGAGCCTCCCAGCAGCATTATGAGGTTGCTGCGCTCAGCACCTTCAGTGAGACCAGCAATTGGCCCTGAATAAAAATGGTGCTTTTCCCAGTGCAAAGCAATCACACACATTTTTGTCACCTCTCACTGTACTGCCAAGGCTGTCACCCACAGCTGGAGCTGGCACCAGGGCTGTGGATAATAGCAGAGTCAAGGAGAACAGGCCGCAGTGGCAGGAACTGTGCTAAGCTTGTTCTCATTCCAGAATTGTTCCTTGATGACATTTAAAGCAGCTTTACTTTATAATGTTGCCATTTAAATGTTTTCAGTTGAGAGTGGTGATTTGAAGATCACACCTTACTGGTGGGATGACTGACTGCCTTCACACCTCTGTTATCTTCTATCTGGATGTGATTTTTTATAA